ATGTAATATACATTATGCATTTTAGGTGTCTCAGAGGCTGTTCTTTGTTATTTTAATGTAGTTACAATGAATGCGCAAACTGTTAATCCATGCCTATCCCAGCGGTACACATTCGGTCCCCCACTACTCCGCCTCAATGCATGAGGTATACATTATCAACTAGGCAGTTACCTGGCTTTGGCGGTTCCTAGGACACAGAGAGTTGCTGGATGTATTAGTCTCTGTTGCGTCCGAAATCGCCCATTTATTCACTGTTGCGCCCGAAACCACCGCGAAATCGGTGGTCTTTTTGTCACGCTGTATCGTACGCACCCATATGAACAGCAACCTCTATAGTCATATTGGCGGGTAGCTTGGGAGTTGCCCTTTCAGACGCCATAACAACGTAGGAAGAGTAAGAGGGAGGACCCCCCGGGGTCGCAATCGCTTAACAAAGGTTGAAAAATCTAGGCTGGACCAAGCCTCACCCACCCACCGAGTTTGATCGTCGTGCGACCTGCCACTTCCGAGAGTAAGCCCGTACCAACATCCAATTCCAAACAGAGACTTGCGTATTACTATATTTTGTTTCTCTGAAAGTCATTTGTTTTGTGGTGCTTTCCTCCAGTTTGGTCTATTTTACTATACATTCAAGATGAATTATACTGGTCGAGCCTTTCCGTATAATATTCACTCTATCACACCAATGTGTCATGTTCTGTCAATCACACTCCGTCTATGTCAGGTCATAGGACGGAAGGAAACGTTAGATGGATGACACGGCCGTCACTGTTGTCACTTAAGCTATAAGATTGCATCACCAAACATGCTTCAGGGTTTGCTCTGCAGGAGATTTCATCTCCCGAGGCTTCCCAGAGTTCTCCTACCTGTTTATGTCACAGTTCTATAAGCTTCCGTCTCAAACAGATCTTGCAATGTGCTCGGACAACAAGTACTGGTACTTCACTACCAAGGGCGGATCCAGAACACAATTTTGGGGGGGGCAAAAAAAAATTTTGGTGCCCCCAAAAAGTGGGTCAAAAAAATTACGGCGTGGGCTTCGGGGCCCGCTTAAGGGCCCCGAAAATTTTTTGCATTCTAGATGCTCTGTGGTGCGATCTGAGGCAATTTCTGACCACTTTAACCAATGTTTTTTTGAGGAAAAGATGGTGGTGTACTCATTGCCTGCCTTTTTTGCGATGTCACATAAAAAATAAAAAAATTGGTTTCGTTTTTTGGGGGGCCATGGCCCCCTCTGGCCCCCCCCGGATCCGCCCTTGTTCACTACCACATCTAACGTTATTGTCTCAGCATGGTCTCACCCTTTGCTTGAATGATTTTTCTTTATTTATATATTTATCCAGTTAAGTCATGTTGCTCGAAGTACGTTTTGAAATTCCTTTCGATATTTCTGTTTATCTCTATAATATTGGCTGGATGGGTTTTGTGCTCATTAAATGTCTTATTTTTGCCGTTAATTCCTTCACCGTTTCCCCCTAACAGCCATCACGTATCGCTGTGGAAACCTACTGCATGCACACCACGCATCCGGATTATACAAAAACATATCACTGCTCTTTTTTCCATGAATTTATCGAGCCAGATATGTCTGTCTTACTCATATTTCCAAGGGAAAAACGGCCAAAAGGACAATTTAAAATATCGAAGAAAATATGAATTTCACGCAATGTTCTGGAAAGAGGATTTGTAGCCATCGGGGATAGTTCAATTTGTTTGTTAAAAAGTGACTGTTTTGGGGAAGTTTACAAAATATTGATTTGGAAAACGGGAACGCGGTTGACTTCAAACTAAGACGATAAAACAATGGTTACATACAATACACCGGTTACCCCCATAGGACACTATTCATAATATCTGTGCGCCTTTACAGAAGTACTGTTTCTTAAGCTGGGTTTTGAAATGGTTTAAGTATGGCATTGTTTTAAAAAGGTTTGGTACGCTCTTGGTTGGTAGAACATGTTGTATCAATGTGGTATATTTTTGTAATGTGTACAATCATCAGGAAATGCGGGACAGATTGCAATTTTGCTTTGATTCAGATCTGAAAGAATTGAAAGAGTCGATAATTTTGTGTGAATTAAGTTCAAAATGTAATGTATAAAAGATATTAGTACCCCAAAAAATGAACGCAATTTAACATCACTATGCTGAACGATACTGAGAGTTTTTCACCGCCTCGTTCTGGAAAACAGCGTCTTGTATACACGTTCTGGTCTTGTATTCACGTTCTGGTCTTATATTCATGTTCTGGCCTTGTACTCATGCATTGGTCTTGTATTCACGCTCTGGTCTTGTATTCATGTTCTGGTCTTGTATACACGTTCTGGTCTTGTATTCACGATCTGGTCTTGTATTCATGTTCTGGTCTTGTATTCACGTTCTGGTCTTGTATTCACGTTCTGGTCTTGTATTCACGTTCTGGTCTTGTATTCACGTTCTGGTCTTGTATTCACGTTCTGGTCTTGTATTCACGGTCTGGTCTTATATTCATGTTCTGGTCTTGTGTTAATGTTCTGGTCTTGTATTCATCGTCTGTTCATGTACCTTCGAAATATATCATTACTTACCGACGTCTGTTTATCGCCCTAATCAGAAAAGAATACCCTGTACACAAGAGACGGTCAAAATTCTCAATGGCAAAAGAAAAATCGCTGGGTAATGCTGTTTGAATTCATGTCGTATGCATTTCACCTAATGGATTTATACTGAAATTAAAGCGAAGTCCAATCTATTTTTATCCCAAATAAAGGGTATGGAATTGAAATAATTGGAATCGTAAATGGAGTTTCTGTTGATAGGTTCAGATCAGCGGTATGCAATTACTGTAGGGAATTCGGCGGATCGTATATCGGTGACTTACATTTTCTCCTGCTATTCCGCAGACAATAAACATTCTGACGATCCGAATGTTTTAAAGCCATGCCGTAGATTTATCAGAATTTTGAATGATACAGATGCGAGTATTCACTTGAAATCAACCAAACCTAAGGTCTACAAATGAGTTTCCAACGTGTTTTACATAATTATAACCAGATTCTTTATTGAGAATTTACATCAAATCGCAATTACCTTCGGGTTAATGTTGCTTCTTCTGCGTGTAACCTGCCAATAATGTAATTTCGGAAGAATAAACCGCTCGTTGCAAAGTTTGCTCTCACCTCTATTCTGTGGCATACTTGCAATTTGGGAGGAAATAAATTCCAACGCGCTTCACACCCTATTCCAAAACCCTCAGTGAAAGTTCACATCATACCCTCACTATTAAACCCATGAATATTACTGAAATTAATTTTGTTCGAAACCGACATTTTCAGTACCGACATGTCTTATCACTAGTCGGGTTTTTTTTTTTTTTTTTGGCATTTTTTTTTTGGGGGGGGGGGGTTGGGGGAGTGGGAGGTGACGACTGGGGCTGGCTTTTTTCTCTAACAAAAAAATAACTACAGACGGGTTTTTTTCCTCCGTTGGGAAGACTTTGCATAATTAGTGAATCTCATACCGCTACAAGAAAATGAGGCTACCCTGTGGCAGTTTTGATCAAAAGAAACCGAAAAAGTTGTACCGAACATCGTGCTACTGTAGCGCAGCGAGAAATCGTACAGGTGCGGAGAGGGATTCAAAATAAAATGCCTTGCCTCGGGGAGTTAGAAAGCGGGGGAGGAAAGCAAACATGATGGAAAGCCTTACATAAGGTTACAGGTAGAAACGCGTACTTGTCCACGATTACGAAACGGTTCTTACTTTGAACCTTACATAAAATTCAAAATTGAAACAGTGTTATTCTTCTTTTATCCTTTATTTCCCTTCTTGTGTGCCCTTTGTATAGGAATTCTTTGACTGCATTACCAGAATGTTTAAGACTCAATGTTCTAAGTGCATCACGTACCGGTATATCCCGAGTGTTTTGTGAGGCACAGTCTCCGCACTCAGCTATCCAGAAAATTGAAACATGCATTTTGATATCGAGGACCGTTTTTATCGTTGGCATTCCTGGGTCCTAATTATCTCTTGCCCCTTTTTAATTAGTCTCATTAAATTCCACGGCCTTCAAATTTGAAAAAGGAAAAAAATCTGGTATGACGCAAAGACATGGTATGGGTGTGATTATCCTCACTCTGCGTCCATCGAAAAAGTGTCAAAAGAAAATTGTCTAGCAATTTGTCGGTGTGAATAGTAAAGTGGGGGGGGGGAGCTACAGGAAAATACTAGACTGCAGAAAATGTCCAAGCTTAATTGTTGATCATGCTCGATGTATTTCCTTTCTTTTGACCACAATAAGGGTGTTTTTTTGTCTTGTTAGATGCATCGTCATGCAGTGCACACTCCATATCAAACTGAGGATGATATCCAGGTGTGGCATGGAGGGGGTAGCTATCAAGGGGAGGGGTTGCAGGCATCTGCTATTTTATCTATGAGTTTTCTATTTTTTGCAACTCAAGGGGGAAAGATCACCTACCCACCCCCTTACCCCCTTACCCCCCCCCCCCCCCCCCCCCCCCCCCCAGTAGATCCGCCACTGCTGTTTGTCCTGAATATCTTATGTTATAGGCCCTATCACTTGTGAATTTATCAAATTAATATAAATGTATCAGGAAAGGGGGTTGTTTGTTAATTAAATTCGCTCACGTACACGCAACATGCCTTGGACAATCAAACGAAAGTGCTAAATTATTTTTTGAGATTATTTAAAGGTTTAATGTTCTTTACTCACTGAATGAATAAGAAACGTAATCGTCACGAAACATCAAACAATGAATCTTTTTTTTTCCTTTAAAATTGCAAAAACTCTCTTTACGAGTAATACAATTTATTAGTTACAAGTTAAGATTCCTCTGAACCTGAATATACATTCGTTAATTACTATATGTACAGTTTTTTATGTCAAGCAAAATACAAATAATTAGGTCCATTTAAAATTGCACGTGTTCCTCCACCCGTGTCCACACACAGTAATTAATCATTAAGTTGAGATTTACTATAAAAGGCCACGTGTTTTGGGGGTTTTTTTTGCTCAATGTTGTGCACTTTGTTGACTTCTACTGCATTCTGTGTTCCTCATTAAACTGGCAACCCAGGGCCACTCTTTCCATTACAGGGAACAGTCTACAAACACATATAACAAGTTTAATTGGCGAGTTGTTCACTTTTATCTAACTTCCATTTTTAACGATCCATCCATCTTTAAATTTGTGTCTTTAATGAACTGCCAAAAGATGAAAGCATCCCCCGTTTGCTTCGATTCTCTCCGTCCCAGATATTTTATGAGACCATTCCCCAACCGCTATGTGTTTAAGGTGATTTTTATTTTAAGGGCAAACTTGTTCGGTAAAAAGGCCAGGATATGCCACTGTCCACAAATTGTAATATTAAGTGCGCCATTGAAGATTTAATTCAGGAATTTTCTGAAATGCAGAAAAACCTTGTATAATTTTGGGGGTAAACCAATTCGGGTGGCTTATGGTCCATACAACTATTTTCGAAGCTGAAGAACACAGTCCGTGTGGGCCTGCTCTCCGCACCCTTGCAAATCAGGTTGTATATCTCATGGTTATCAAGAATTAAAATATAAATTCTGGGCAAAAGGCAAGATGAAAAGTGAAGAAATCTCAGTCATCTAGCAAGCTTGGGGTTCCACACGGACCTAGACGCCCACCGGCGTTATTACGATAACCAATTACGATGTATTCGTTCGTGCCTGGAGAATTAACATCAAAAAAATTAGTTCTGAATTGCACATTATAGTTCTTAAGACCACGATTAAACATAAGTTCAAATGCGTCAATAAACAAATAGATGCAGCGGGCAAACTTAAAAAAAAAAAAGTGTGTACAACCATTACTTTCATCCGCGTAGAAAGAAAGTAGACCCTTTTGCGCTGTTTTTGTAAAACTCCTTCAATCAAATATACTTCCTACTTTTTTATAGGCTATTACTTTCCTGTAATAACTGTTAATTAATGACCGTAAAAAGGCGAAGTTTACCCTTCATTACAGCTGGCTTTTGACGCTCTTTATTCGCACATTGTATCCACTAACTTCACTTGCTGTTCAGCTCACTCTCGCCATTTTGTCCACTTATCCACATTCACTCCACACATTCACTCCACACATCCCATCCACTCATTCTCTCCAACAACAAAACCACCGCTCTCGTCACCTAGTCCCACAGCTCTGCTCAAAAGGCCTGCGTCTTAGCAACTTCTCTTGTCCGTAACACTGACTTATCCTTACATCTCAACTGCCATTTACTCATTCAGTCATCAACAAAACTCCAGACAACGATTGTTTCAAGCCAAAATGTAAAAGTCACTTCCGCTTTCCCAAAAATGTCTGTTCGTGTTCATGTTTATCATTTAAACTGGTAACACTAAGACGTAAAGACTTTCAGGTACAAAAAAGTTAAACATTTCGAACCAAACTTTGAAGTGCTTCAATGTTAAACCTATAGGCTCCATTGTAAATTCAGATTTCGAAATTACACAAATAGATGTCATTATATGGTGCAGTGAAATTCGTGAATTACACTTGTTCTGAGACGTGAAATGAAATATATTGGTGCAAAGTTATATTTTTTATGGAATTTCAATGATACGAGTGTTAACGGGAAAACCTATATATTACGTAAGGCATTTACTAAATTTGTTCATTGCACATTTTCATAAGAAAGTATTCAGATGTTACTTAAACTCGTGTTCTTCCAAAGCAGCCGCTGTGGTCAGGCTTGGCAACTCCTTCGTGAATCCCTCCTTGCCGGCAAGAAAGTATGTCTCAATCGTCCCTTTGCCCTGTCCAAAACAAAAAGCAAACGGAAGGAAAATTCACAATTAAGAAACAGCTTCAGCTTCATTACGCTTGTCACCTCAGCGCTCATTCAGTCTTGCAGTTTCGGAATCTAATCACTGCGTGGGTTTAATTGGCTACTGGCGCTCCTCGCAGCTAGGAACCTCCCATAGACCTCAGTGATAATTACGCACATTTCCCGAAATTATTAAATATACTCTCCAAGGTGTTTGAGACAAACATCAAATGAAAGCTTATTTCACCATCTTTCATTTTCAGTAAGACATAAGGTCAGATTTTCTTGCAACCAGACCTTGGAAAAGGATAAGTAAACAATCCAAAACATACAATTTTCGGGGATTTCAGGCCGTAATGCGCCTTTAATGATAAAGAAAGACCATAGACTCTTCACCTTCATTTGCACGCTGCCCCGCTTCTCAAGATGAAAAGTTCCTATTCTCATCAACACGTCTTTGCACTCGGGACTTACATGGATTCGCAAAGCTGCAAAGATAAAATCAAAATACAAACACAATTTTACAGAATTCGTATTGAAAGAATGAAAAAATTAAAACAAACGGGTGTTTTTGGTGACTGGGTGCTGTAGCATCAGATTCGTCGGTAGAAACGTTACATTTTCTGTGAGGGATTTTTAGCTTTGAATATCGCTAACGAAATAATGTTTTCTGCTTTTTCTTAGTTTCTATTTATATCACCACCTCTATTGGTACGCCACTGCTGTCGCGTAGGCCAACAAAAAAATCATCGATGTGATCGTGAAGAGATCCTTTAATGTTTGGATAGCATTAGAACGAGACATTATTGATGAGCAAAGCTGAAGTAATAAAACGGCAATGGTTGATTTTACAGTGGTCCTAATCCCATAGGAGCCGTATCAAATTTCCCGCACAGAGAAGCAATTTCCTAGAGTATTTTGAAAGACAAAAAAAAAAAAACGGACGTTAACAATCAAAACCTATTCGGGCTAGCACTTCACATGATAATCACTAGCTGTATGGAACGATAGAGGGCGCACTCTTTAAAAACTCGTAAAACCTGACCTCTTCTGTTGTTTTGTAGGCTGCAAGACGGTCGTGTTATAGTTAATTTGTCCAACGCTTAATTGTTCGCTGTATTTTCAAAAAAATGGCTGATAGAAAAATCGAGAGAAGAATCTATTTTTTCCTCCTTTTCGAGATAAAAAAGCGCAACGAGCACCCAAACTCCAACGCCACGATACTTAGGCTGACCTTGATTGCTTGGTGAACACACACGATATTAGAAACCACCGGGAATAATCATTCAATCATCAGAAGAAATACAGTCACAGGGGACTATGAATCCAAATTGACAACATGCGACCGATCCTTAGACTAAGTTCTTTAGAACCTGCGTGCCTATACTCAATAACGTGTACTTTGCTTCAAGATTATCTCTGGCATTATGTGGTCACGTGCGATGTTACAATTCGATTGGACTCTTTTGGATTGAAATATAATCCGTTCATCGGACAAAAGGAATGGAATAACCGGGTATTTGGAATTTTAAAATGCATCAAGATGAAAATGGAGAACACCACTATTATTTAAAATTATGATTATTTAAACAAGGACTAACAAAATTACCAGACTCATTTTCTTTGAAGTTATTTGTTTGGGTTTTTTTTCCCGAATAAGGAAATCGGTTAACTGATACTCTTTCTGGTAAACCTTTCTATACTTAGGAACCTTTCAAACGAATTCTTTAAATTTTTCCAGAACCTCATTAAGTTGCATGGATTTTACAAATAAAAGGAAGTAATCTTCTTACCTAGCCCGGTAGACTCCATCCTTGATGCGTAGTTTACGGTGTCCCCGAAGAGACAATATCGCGGCATCTTCTTACCAACAACACCCGCGACAACGGGGCCTGTACGCGAAATTAAAAAAAAAAATTGTCCCCCATTTTTATATCCAGGTGCAACAAGATTGATAAAAGTCGCTACAATTTTGAAAGAATTAATTGCTTTCCGTAATTTACTTTTTGGTTTATGATGTTTATAACTCCATTAATGTAATGGGGGTGAAAACGCCTAACAACTGGAAAGCCAAGACAATCAAAACCTTTAGTTCTCTATCATTCACAATGAAGTCAGAAGTTAGCCATTTCATTCACACGAGCTTGTTACCTAATGATCAATAGAGGGCGCTATGAGGAGTTTAAACGGCTCCACAAATTAGGTAGATTTCCGGGGCGGATCTTGGTTTGCAGCAAGTGGGGGTTAAGCAGGCATCTGCCATGTTTTCATGCACGATTTGCCCATTTTGTGCGGCCCAAGAGGAAGGTTCAGATCCCCTTAAACCTCCTCCCCCCTGTTGATCCGCCACTCGAGTGGACCAATTGAAGTAATTTACATTGCTTAAAGACTCACACACACCATGATCCCATTGGCTGGTCCCAACCCACGGGATAGTCTGGCAGTAACTTACCCGTGTGGACCCCAATCCTGAGCTGTAGATGCTCGTCTGGTTTGTGAGAAATGTGGAAGGTCTTCACAAAGCTGAGTAGATCCAATGCCATGGTGCATATCTCGCCTGCGTGCTTGTTACCATTCCGGACCGGCAGACCGCTAGCCACCATGTACGCATCACCGATGGTTTCAACCTGAAGATTATGAGATTAAGAGAGGTGACTTGGATTACATTGAGTCTTTGATGCTGCAGTTTCACTGGGCTATAGAACGGTCACGTGTCAAGTTTAAACGAATGTGATATTATTTACGGCATCAAAGTACCGTCTTATGCATTTCAGTATCTTTAATCTTTCATTAAGTGTGTGTAATAATAACGAAATTTAAGGAAAATCCCAAAATGGAAGATTTCCCAAAATGGACGAAAAATGGAACTGTTGTTCGGAACGGTCTCCCTTGTGGTTTTCTTGTGCCTATTTATCTGTAAATTCTGCAAGATTCTTAAATACTAATAAGTCATTTTTTTTAAGGATAAGATATCGGATCATGTAGGATTATCGGATAATAGGATTATCGATTGATTGAATAGAAAAGGTGATTGATAAAATGTGATGAACTACAATCACACCAGGGCTCTTTATTTGTTGGTCTTCATTCTTGCCAACCAAATGTTTTCCACGATAAGGCCTAGTGAATAATGTAACGTCTGAACTCACCGGTCGTAGTGTGTTTGGATAGGACCCGTAGTGCTAGCACGATGCACTAGCACTTGACCTTTGACCTATTCACTCACCTTGTACACGTCATAGTGCTCTATGGTGCCGTCAAAGCCAGTGTACAGATTGTTCAGCAAGTCGATGACCTAAAAAAAAAAATAACGATGAAGTTAATTTTACCCAAAAAATATTTAATTCAAAATGTTATCACATCTTGACAGAACCAACAAAATATGTTGTGATTTGCTTCAAATACTATCTTAACAAAATGATGGGTTTTTTTTCATGGTTAAACAACAACAGATGGATGCAAAACAAATCGATACTTTTTAAAGTATTACTTAAAAAGTAACAGACAGTTACAAAATATTAAATGAATGTTATTTTGCCCCGGTATGTTCCATACGTAGGCTCCTCGTTAATGAGGTGTTGTTACTGTCCTTTCGTAAACCAAAACACATGTTACATTGACAATGTTGTGTTAGGGCCTACGTCTTTAAAGTTGTCTTTAAGGTTCAGAATCGGCATCTGTGCAAACGAACCGAGAGAGTTCTTTAATAACGAAGTTGTTCTTATTCATTATATACCTGCATGGGAGAACTTGCCGCCGCTAGTCTCGTGAACCCCACAATATCGCTGAAGAACACCGTCACCTGCTGGAAGGTCACCGGCTCCACACTCTTGCCTTGCTTCAACTCATCGGCCACACACCTGAGCGAAACACAATGTTCAGCTCATTCTTAATATACTTCATAGTTAATGTTACTCCAAACTGGCTTTGGAGAGTCATAAACCCTTAGGACGGATCGTAAGTGAATAAGAAGGGGCAACGGGAACCATCCCCCAAACGCTTTTTATGTAAAAAGGGGATGAAAGATCGAGTATTTAATCTATATACCAGTTACCTGGTTTCTGTAGATGAGAGATTGGCAATTGTGGAGAGCGCCACCAATTTATTATTTGTTGCATACCTTCTCCCATCTCCCCGATATTCAGTTTCTGATATTTTTTTTTCCTGTTTGAATATTTATTGCTTTCCAATTGTTTCGATCCACAAGTGAGGTTGATTAAAGAAACAGGGACTCGGCCTCAAAGAGCTTTCCATTATTTCCGTTTTCCCCCTCCTTTTAAAATATTTTGTTCAAGTACGCCTACATACAGTCGATGTAGGCCGTAAATATATCAAGGTCTCTAGACATTTTTCTCTCGAAGAAACCACTTGCCTCATTGAGTCGGTCACGTTTGCGGTTTATAGTATGCTACGTATTGGTTTCCATGGCAATACCTAACCTTAGAAAATCATCTGGTTTCCTTTTCTTCTCTGATTGGGCAAATGAGGCTTCCTTTAAAACCTCGTGGCTTGTCAAAAACACGTTTATAGCCTTGTTGGCCAAACGAGCAAGCCTAGAATAAAAAAAAACTTGTATAATGTTCAATGTGACAGTTCAAATGGTAAAATAATTCCCAATATTTTACCAAATCTTTCATTTGCAAATCGATTACTTTAATATATCAGGTGACGAGAAACATAAAACAAAATTTGTCTTTCTCAAGTAATTTTATTTTCTCTATTGTTTTGATTTCGAACGGATTGAACATCCAAATGTATACCTTGGTAATATTTGATAGAGAAGTTCGTCTGTTCGTTTCTTTTCCTCCTCCAGTTGTTTGGTCCGTTCGTCTACCATCTCCTCCAGTTGATCTGTGTACTTTTCCATCATGTCCACCATGTTATCGATTAGATTTCCTTTCCTACGAAAGAGCGAGTGAAAGGTCTCTTGAACAAAGTATTGGACTAATTGGGAAACCGCCTACAGAGGGCGGAAATCGCTCATTTGTTGGAGCGCTGGTATGGTTATCTGGAGGTCGCTGGTTCCTATATCTCGCTCCAGTCAATTTCTTTTTCTTTTAAATTTTATAACTCAAAAGCATTATCTTAAATCAGGCAGCGGGCGCTATTTGTATTTATAAAGCAGATCCGTAAAGCAAGGATGGACAAGAGAGGGCATCCTGTAGGGACACTGATGAGTATGTTGCAGATTCCCTTGGTTTTTCTTTCGACCGCTATCCAATTCCAGTTGGTTGTAGGCTTGATGTCGATTATGTAATTAAGTATAAACGACAACGAAACTCGGAACTGATTTTGGTCGTAAATTCTGCGTTCGTATGGGCTCCGTGCGCCAACAAAACAGGGCGCCCTTTTACCTGGCAACGACGTCCCATGGGCGGGACACTACATTTTGCTGGTTGACGCGCGCGCACAGTTCCTTGTGTGTGACGCACGTACACCAGGGGATTTGTAGTATGTATACACGCAGTGGCCGCGCTTCGCCGCGGCAAAATATTGCAGTCAGGCAAGATGGCGTCGTCTGGTCACCCCCAACTGAACTTTCTTTGCCGGTGAGGGGTTGCTTGTGAACGGAGCGGATAAACCGAGTTCTTATATAATTTAAGAAAGATACGTTCATTGTTCTCTTTGAATACATTCTGTATAGCCAGTGGCCTGGGGTAAGTACTTCCGTAATGCACGTACATTGCGGCAAGGAACCTACCAACAATGCTTTGCGACGCCAGCTGCATTTCCTTCACAAGTTTTTGTGATGGGGATAAGTGATCGGCAGGGGGCGCCCTTGGATAGGGCAGTGGGATGCGTAAGTGAAGTGATGAACAGTAAACACAAAAGGTCATTTTGTAAACATTTTACCTGCCGTGCGAACACTGCTGAAGGTGCTTAATGGCGTTGGCTATGGATGGTCTGGCCTCGGGATCAGCTGCCCAACAACTCTGCATTAGCTTCACCACTCGACTGTCCACCGACTCGGGGATGGCTGGTCTGAATGGGGGATCCTTGCAGGCTTTCACTAATTGTATTATATCTGTTTGGAAATTGTATTTTTCAATTTCATTATCAATGCATAAAACAGATGAAATACAATTGAACGCCACGAACTATACCGAGCATTGGGATATACTGATCATCCCCTTAGGCTAAAAAAAGTTGGTACACTTATGCTTAACATTTCTGAATATAAACACATTCAAACTGTCCATTATGTCTTACCAAAAATCCTTCTGAACTACATTTAGATTTAAAAAAACAGCTATTTAAAATCTCTTCGATAATTTTGTAGATAGTTCCCGGCTTTGGCCCAACGATGACATGCATGGCATCATAACAGATGTAGCAATACGAACAATAACAATTGCTGGGCCGATATCAAACTTTAAACTGCATAACTTTTTGGCATGGTGTCGAGTAGGAAAGGTACGTGTATTGGTCACATACCTTGAGCTGATAGTTCCACCATACAATAAGGCGAGTCGCGGAGGAATATTTCCTGAAGTAAAATGCCGTACGAATAGCAATCAGCGCTCTGTGTTCCTTGCAACGGCGGCTTCTCCATGTTGAGTAGTTCCGGCGCCGTTGTGAGATTTCCTTTGTAGAATATAAACAAATATAAATAGAATGAGGCACTTCCAATTTTATCTTCTGAGTAGGCCTACTCCTTTCAAATATTTACACGACATCATCACTGGCGTAGCTAGCTACGGGGGCGCACGTGCCCCTCACAAATTACCAGTGGCCTAGGTGCCTCCACACCCCTCCCCCCAAACAGAAAACGATATTTGGTACCCGTGTTTGGTTGAGAAAATAATTGGACATTTTGAGGGACCACAATAGTTTGTTGATCCTTGGGTGTGAAGGATGGTTCTGACATTAGGAAATTGATTCATTTTCTTGAACTGAGCGGGAATGCATTTTCGTCCTATTCAAGACTCATCAGCCGCATTGGTTCCAAGGAACCGGGGTAGTCCATAGTTAGGTGTTTGACAATTGGGTGTGGTGGGGAGAAACCCTTTAAAAGTTGATAACAGTAGTGATCATGGTGCTTGGGCTCATGAATGAGGTGATTTTAATTATCGAGCGTATCTCCAACGAATTACTAACGATTAAATTATCACTGACAACCCAAGTGCAAAGAAACTTCCAAACTCCAATATTGGAGTCAATTTAATAGCGCTGCTCAGCATAACATTTTTTAAAGCAACGACGATATTTCCTGAGCAAAAAAGCAACAGGATACCAGTCAGAATGGCAAGTAATAATTACTTGTCGCTGGTACTCAGCTCACAGATCCACTCACTTGCACATTTAGCCTCTGCGCTGAACCTGTTGTCCGCAGCTCCTTCCCTGAGCTTGATCAGACCGAAGTCCGAGATCTTACAGACCCATCGGCTGTCCACTAGGCAGTTGGTTGACCGCAAGCTGCCGTGGGACTGAACGGGTGAGGAGTGAAGGTGATTCAGACCCTGCGTGGATGGATCCAAAAATGGTCACAAACAAACAGAGAGTTGTTATCGTGGGTGGAATTAAAGGTTAGCCATCTTGACAGAAACAACTCAAGTGAAGTACAAACAAACTTACTCTGGCCACATCCATTGCGAAGGACCATTTGAAGAGGTAATCCAGTTTGATGTGATCGTTGTTGAGTACATCCTATCAACAAAATAAAAAACACAGAGACGAGTCAGTACATTCAGAAACATAATTGCTAACTGCAGGTGTCTATACATGTATGATCCATCGTGATTTTGCTCAAACAGACGTGGACAGAAAGCTGGGACAACTAGACTCCTATAAATTCATTTTGTTTATTCACTTTCGTGATGACTTGATGAGTTGGACCCATCTGTCCTTGTCAAGCATAGTGTTGGAAAAGAGATGGACCGCTCAGACCAGTTTCGAACTCGATGGATGTTGTCAGTGTCATGTTGGGACGACCTCTACGGTGAGGGGCGTCGGAATTCCAGAGAAGAACACGACTAGCTGGCTCATTATGGCGGAAAACGTGACCGGCTAGCCGAAGGCGACGCTGTCTGATGATGGCGGAGATAGGTGAAAGGCACCGTATAGAACGGAGTTCGGGAGATATTGTTGCCAAGAAACGTTCTGTACAGCGCGCAACACCCGTGTATAGGCGTCATCAATGGATGTAGAGATTTGTTTCGTCAGGGTTCAGAACTAACAATCAGGATTCACAACTCTGTCCTATCGTTATGTTCATAAAATGGTTTCCATTTCCAACACTCTGTCACAGCTTTTCTCTAACAAGTCTACGACTATTTCCAGTATTCAGCACTGGGTTTCTCAAGTGACAGTAATTCTAGTCTTTCATGGTGCCAGTTTGGTTTCAATGTTTACTTCGCTCGCCTCCAATAATTCTGCAGAGGAAGTCTCAATTATTGTTAGGAAATATCTCAAGGTTGTCTGACTCTGGTATGAGAATCATTTCAAATTGCTCTGACTTTCATCCTTTCTCGAGTTGTGTTGTTTAAGTGTTTCCCGACCAGGAGGTTTCAGCAAACTGTAATATGAAGGAGGGAACGTGTCTTGAAAGGGAGTATCGTTCAAAAGTCAAGAATTCGGTTTAAAAAAAAGAGTGGTCACAGATTCTACAGAAAGTTTGGCCTACCTGCAAACTTCCTCGACTGCAATACTTGTAGACGATGCAGACGTTTGGAAGCTCTACGCATGCGCCGAGGAAAGGGTTGATGTTCGTGTGTTGGAGATCCCGGAGCTGTACATATGAACAGAAACAAGCACAAAATTGGATTTTTAATCCCTGTTTCTTTTCATTGATTTCGCATCTTCATAGTAACAACCTTCGTTGATCCATACATCGTATTCGTAACTTATACTACAATACCGTTCTTATGCATTCGTGCACATGAATGTCATGCACGTGTCAGTTCGTACAAATCACTTTTATATACATGTACATGTATTTACATTAATGATAAGACAAAAAATACATAACATGAAGCCAAAAATCAATATTAGATTCTTTACGTAAAAGTCAGTCAAAAGTCGTCCTTACGGATGATTGAAATGTTATATTTACCTTTTGTTTTCCACCATTACCAAAAATGTGTTTGAAGAATCAATTGAAAAAATGAGGTAAGAGGTTGTGAGGTTCATTCAGTTTCCTACCAAACTCGCCGAAACACACAGATCTGGTTTCATTATTTTATATCACCCGTTTTGTTCCTTTCTGTTGGTCCTGTTTGTCGGCATTACAGACTTTTTCTTGACATGACTCATCAGGTTTGTACACGGAAAACTAACGACGCCTTTGGATCCATCCTTGTAGCTCTTCACCATGGCCTTGTCATGGGATCTTTCATTAAAAAAAATAATGATGATAAATAAAACTGTACCTGTTTGAATTCCTTGAGGATTACTCTGTTGACGTGGAGAGCCGGTTTATTGATGGGTTTAATGGCGACCCAGGCTCCTTGGTACCGACCCACTTTGGTGAAGGCATTGGCGCTGAATAGCGACACTGCGCTGCCGTCCATGTTGCGTGCATGATCACTGATTTGGGACGAGAACTGGGGCACAGAAATCGAATCAGTTAAAGTAGAGAGTCACATATTGGCACAGAAATACTGTTCTTTATTATTATTGCCGTACAAGATGGAGTTAATCATAAAATAGCATGTATTACGCCCGTTATAAAGAACGTCCATAGTGCCGTTGATTCAAGATCAATTATACACGAAAGGAAAATAAACTGGAAAAAAAGGTTATTAAATGACCTATGCAATATAATTTCTTTAATGCAATCCTTGAAAATGCACCCTTGTGTCTAATTGTTTTTGCCATTTTAAAGGGTATTTTGGTGCCTTTTTGGCTTTTATGTTAATGAGAATTTCCATATTCATGAGCAAAACTGTAATGTGACTCCGGGCAGAAAACTCGATGTTACAGCTATTTCAGCACAAAAAGTTGCTAGAATTTTGGATATTTTGCTGTTTTACATTTTCTTTTCTTTGGTGATTCCTTGTAGTTTACGTATATGGCAGTAAGCCAATGAGCAACCCATTCTCACACTTGTTTTCAATGAGAACATTTTGGGTTCACAATTGGAGCAGAAGACCCCTCAACTAAGCAGTGTCTTCCTGAAATGACATCACAGGAATATCGCGCTCAGTTGTCCTAAAAAACATGGACAAGTTTGAATGTTTAAAATGTTTAAAGAAGTGCACTTTTCAATAAAGTTAACCAAAAAAGGCATGGCAACTAGTTTTCAAAAATTTCAAAGCAGTAAAAAGTTGCACAAAATGTGTTCCTAAAAAAAATCATCGCATTGACCATTTAATAAATGAAGAATTTTAGGAATAAAAAGTCTTCAATAGAATTTAGCAAATTAATTGTACGATAGAAAACCAAAACCCAAAAAAATCAGACTTATAGGTACAGAACCCCCAGGTCTTATAAGCAAATGGAATGAATCACAATCTGTATAATGTTGGCAATTGATTTCCTGCCAAGTGTTACATCATGATGAATTTTAAACAGTTAATGTTTCATGCGCAATACATCGTAATTGGACAGCTTGTCAGTTGAGTGGAGCGTCGGGATTTTTTAACATACATGTTATTGTGCTTGAAATGACACAGCTTATTATGAATTGACGTTTATATATTAGAAATGTGTAGATTGTTAGGTGAGAATTAAATGTCTGCGTGGTGGAATGTAAAATATGTAGGCTAAGGTTTGCGGTAACACCATGGAGGCAAATCTCTCTTGTGACTGTGTGTGGTTCTGAAAAGAAACATAACACCACGTTTTGGACTCTGTATGTCCCTCGAATAGATCGTTGTTTATTTCGCAGCACAACTCGCTGTATAGCGAAGTACACAGTGTAAAAAACACACACAGACACACACCTATTGGCATTTCTTCAATCAACGTTAACATTCCACTTCAATTGGCCCCGATCGTAGTTGGGCGTGGAATCAGTTAACGTACTATGCAGTTCGGCACAGAACGTCGTGCGCCTGACCGATTGCGTGGTTTGCGCATGTTAGTCAGTGTTGGGTGTTTTTACCACAGCGAACTCAATCGAGGACCGTGATTGATTTTACCTGTTCCCGATGTTTCGTCTAGTCCCAACTCCTCCTTCGTGTGATTTGAAAGACAGAAACTCTCAATGCATTAAGGCAGGTTCTTGCTTTGATGACGCGGGATCAAGCTCATTTGAATACATGTATTATTCATAACCGTCAATGCGCGTACTATGTCGTTTCTGTGCGTGCTCTCAAAGATGGGCCAATCAAAGTACAGGAAAGGAAGTTCCACTTAGCAACCAATAGAAGCAACCTATAAGGACGTGGCCCTTTCTCGTTTTATGAAGACTGAGATGGTCAGAGCATACTGACTGGAACGTCGAGTTTGTACCTCTGGTTCTTTTCAGAACCATTCTCTTAGTGGTGTTTCCGCAAGCCTTTCATTCATTAGTATCTCCACCATGCAAAACCTCAAATCTTACTTTTATGAAGTCAGAAAATCAATATACGTTTCTTCTTGCTTGGATATCATAGTCTGACATTTCGAACAATGATTGATTCGGGAGATGGATATATCGTAATTGTTTGTTATTAAATGAAAACACGGAGCCATCTAGGATAATGTCAATGTTCATTTGTGCACCACATGCACATGTTGCTAAAGGCGTAGTGGTAACATGTTCAGTTGCATGACAACGACCATAGTGCGATAACCAAGATGGTTGTCCAAGGCTGCAATAGAATGAGCTTCGTGAAAATCGGGAGGGTAGCAACACGAATATGTTTGTTGCTCAAAAAAAATACCACAACTACCACAATGTCTCCCACTCCGCCCTTGCGTTTTGACAAGACGATCGTGACTTTGGACATTTGCCCTGGTGGAAAAGCCTCGAGGCGACTGGAGGAGAGACAACACACGTTGAGTAAGCCGTTGCGCGCGGTCGTGCCGAACCAATCGGCCTTCATCGATAGTCTCCACACAATTCGCCTACAAGTCATCCACAATGCTTGAGACGGGATGACCTTGTACAGACGGTCATTCCCGGCAATTCCGCGTACGATGAACGTGTTGCTCATTTTGCTCTTTTTTGTTGCCCTTTCATTCACACTTCCCGGAAATCAAGCCTTGAGGAATAGATCGTGTACTGACTTTAGGAGCAATCTCCTTATATTAGCAAAGGCAAGGACGTCAGTCACATTTGATCATTCTCCTTTTTGCATAAAGGGAATTCACTTAGATAAGTATCACGAAACGGAACATCAATCACGCGCGTTTAGTGGAATCAATCAGCACGTGTATGAGCCTAATATATAATGCTTGGACTTGCATTCTAGTCGAGAAATAAACGGGATTTTGTTTCGGTCTTTAATTCAGTAATTTCCCTTTTGTGTTTTCTCACCTCTTTTCGCATTTTCTGTACGGTTTGATGTGGTGTGGTTGGTGTGGTGTGGCGTGGTGCGTGTTTATGGTGTAAATCGATGTAAACACACGTGCAACATCATCGATAAATCGTGGACAGAAACTGAATAGAAGACTCCTCGATTGGAAAACGTGTATCAGATTAATTTTAAATGTCACTATTTGTATGTACTATTTTTTTAACTTGATTCTTATCTTTTAGTCTTAATTTCTTATGTAAGGTGCCTGAGAGGATTTTTATGGATTTGGCGCCATATAGAAGTACTTCATTAGTAGTAGCAGTAACAGAAGTAGTAAAAAAACGAATTAATTTTGGGGGTTTCCTCAGTAATGTGTAAATATTGAACACTGTTTAGACGGAAGATTATGGTGAGCCATCCCAACCACCCCAATCCACCCTTGCCAAATCATTACTGACGTCACACTCAAACCACAATGCGCATGCGGGAAAAGTGTCATATCTTTTATTTATTTATTACTTCTGGTACTGAAATCAAGGATTCCCCAAATAGCGCCCTAGGCACTGTCAGCTCGAAAGCCTGAAGAAACCTGTAGAGAGAAGTGAATGAAAAGACATTACAGTTTTAGAGGTGGGAGGAAAAGCCCAGAAGAATATTCTGGGGGAAACCCACGGAATCAGGCAGGGACTGAAAAACCCAATCCACATATTGGCCGAGCCGGGATTTGAACCCGGGTCACAGCGGTGGAAGGCGAGGAAAGTACCGCTACACCAACCTGACTTACCTTGCCCATACTGAATTCGTAGCTGGTCCCGAACTTTCTTCGCATGTGATCATCATGGGAGAAGACGATATCTTCGAAGTTGATCTTCCAAACCTGCCGCCTCAACTCAGCTTCGTACTTGCGATTCCTACCAGTGAAGAAAAGGTTAATTAACTGATTAACAATAATGATGCAGGATGCATATAACTCCTTAAAACACTGGAAACAATCAACCCATGCAAAAACAATCATTAGTTTTGCAATGAAAAATTGCCTGGGTTAATTTTACCAAGCAAGGGTGAAAACTGCAACTACCCATGTATGACCACAAGTTTTGGTTGAATTTAACATAAATTATGACCCAAATTGGTAAAGGACAACCCAATTTTGGGTAGTTGCACTTTTGACCCTCGCTTGGGTAAAATTAACCCGGGCAATTTTTCCGTGTGGCTCAATCTTTTTTTTCACTATGAATAATTAAAGCACATATTTGCCAGTAAAACGTCGGATATTTTTTCCTTTCCCTTTTGTAAAATAAACATTTCACTTCAGATTTCAATGCTGTGAATTTAAATTCATAAACCGATGAAAATGAATTGGACACCAAACCTGTAAACAAAGAACGCCACCATGCTTGCCACCACTACGACTAGAACTGCAGACACAATGACGATAGCCAGTTCAGTCGCTAGAACGAGCAAGAGATATTACAAAACCGTTAATTACAACAATAAGCTTCTTAATTGTTATACAGGGTGAGTAAAAAACGCATCCCAAATGGCAGGACTAATTTTTGAATGAAGTTTTGCCTGTAGCACTTTCAAAATCTAGGATGTGAAAGCCAAATCAATGAGCTTTCCTTTAGTGCAAGAATCATTAAAATAACCAATGTCATTTGCAAGTTACGTCATTTTGAACACAAACGCCATTATAAAGGTCATTCCACGGATAAAAAAGGCATGTGTTCTTTCAGCAAAAAAAAGAAAAAAATGCACAGCATCCATTTGAGAATTCTTTTCGTTTTGATGAAAGAACACTTACTTTTTTGTGATCCGTGGAGGGAACTTTAAATCGGAGTTTTAAACGTTTGTGTTCAAAATGCCGTAACTCAAAAAGAACACGAATGATATGGACGATTCTTGTACTAAAAGAGCCTATTGATTGGGCTTTTTTATCCTAGATTTGAAAGTGTTACAGACAAAACCTCATTTAAAAATTGGTTCTGCCATTTGGGATGCATTTTTTTACCCGGATGTTGAGCAACTGGGTTTCATATATGATAGAGTCATACATCAGTAATAAAGGTGTCGAGGTTTTCAACAGGCGATTTTGCTTTGCCTCTTTAGGTTTTTCGTTAGAACTTCCAAACATAAATGTTAATAGTATAATGTTGTCTGCGAAAGTGAAGGTTTACCCGGCTATTTTAAAACGTTTATCATTCGAATTCACCGTTTCTAATTTTCAAATTCGTCCGGCAACATCGATTTAGTGCATTGCAAATGTTCAATTTTGTCTTTTGATAGACAATTTCAACTTCATTTCAATTAAATTCAAGCAATGAGCACACGTTTTCGTCCGGGAGTATTCGATTTCCACGACAAACCTTGTTATGCACAAATCAAATTCCTCTAATTGGTTTATATAAGACGGATTCGATCTTTGAATGCTGCCATTCGGCAACAGCTTAGACGAATTTGAACTGTAATGACGTATATTCTCGACCCAGTGACTAAAGAGGGTGACCAAAATTGAACGGTAAATGACTTAAGTTGTTTCGTTAAAATCATGTGGATTTTGTATAGGACGAAATAGAACGTTACAGTTGGTGAATTTGAATGACAAATGTTTAAAATAGCGGCTGAGAATACCTATATTAAGATTATAAATAACTTTCTTATAATATTATTACAGGCTCAGTCGTGTAATCTCATTGTTGTGGTATATTACGTGGTCGTGTAAAACTCACTTGTGAGGATCGGTTGACACTTGACATTGTCCCATCCACAATCAGGTCCATTGGCGGGCGGTGACGTACCACCTCCTGGCCAGTATATAGTCCGGTTAAGGTCCACATAGATCTGTTCGCTACCAAGATTACCAAAACAAAATACATGAAACGTTCCGTATAAATACCAATTTTCGGTTACTTTCATTTTGCTGTCTTCTTAGATTGTTCTAATAATTGTACAAATAAAAGTACATTTAGAGAATATGGTTAAATTACTACCAGCAGTTGATTCAAAAGAATGCGTTTAGGTTTGATATTTCAAATAAATAAAGTCTTGAATTTACAAACATGTACAGTTTGTGTTGGTCTCAAAATGTGAGCAGTGACTTCAATAGTACAGGTTCTACTTTGCTTTTTGTTCGTCATTGGTTCGTGCAGTTAAGTGCTTTTTGTCGCTAATGCACCTATCTAATTATTGCTTCCGTGGATTGTTGGGCTCTAAGGGTTTCTCCAAGGACCCAATCAACCACTGCCAAGATCGGATGTTGCAGTTGACTGACCAGAGACAATCAATTAATTCCGTAAATGGCCTTTTTGGCAGAGTAATTTATTCACTGCTTAATTAGTGCGTGTCGGGCATTATGTGCAGAGATAATGTGCATGTTTCACTTATCTCGGCATACGGCTGAGCAATTTATATCAAACTGGGGACTCCTTATTCCAAATATTAATTGATTCATTCTGGAAGCGCAGGCGGTTTGGAAAATCAAGTTATTAAGAGTTCCGCTCGTGGGGGAAAGTAGGCAGTCAATTAATCATGAAACTGATATGTATATTGCGTCCAATTCCCCGAATGCCTTTAAGAGACGACGGGCGTAATTGAGTTGGTCGTGATGTTCCATCAAAGTCGGCAAATGCAAGTGTCTGACCAAAACAAAAATGATGCAACACTCTAAGAAGTCTGTCATGCGAAACAGAAGGCCTCTTCCTTCATCCGTCTGTGGCAATGAAAATGTGTGAAGAAAGTTCGTCTGCCTACCTCTACCTTTTCATCGCGGTGCACAGGGCTCCGATAACTGTACCTAGACGTATTTGGGCATTAAAGTGATATCCGTCTGTAGACAGTGATAGATGGGGGCGCACAGATAATTCATAATGAAAAATCTCGTATTGTGTTTGAATTTGATTAAAAGGATAGATAGGCTATCAAAAGTTTGGTATACTTAAGGTTTCTCTGCTGTATATTGGTTGGCAACAAAGTAGGTGTTTCATATACTATAACGGTACAACATTCCCGCCAAAAAGTTGTCACATTCGACGCATTTGATACCAAACTCATTCCCTCATCTCCAGTTTCGATATTACGTTCTAGAGAGTGAATTTTGATACTATAGATCTTATCTAAGACACTTATAAGGCGCCGAGGTGTACTTATCGGCCAAGTTGGTGCCATAAAACACTCGTTAGATTCCTGACTGTACACATTGTGTTTTTCTACCTCAAGAAAACGAGATGGGTCGTGTGTGCTATGTAAACACGTCCCGAAGTGGACATCTTTAAACTCGCGCTTTTTTTGTGGCACGTGTTCCATCTCAGATATCACCCGAAGCGCCTAAATCGTGTACGTGCATGTAGTTATACCTTGTGATCAGTTCAGAATCGTTGCGGCTTTTGTACGTGAACACGCACTGCCTGCAAATAATAAGCAAGACAACTTTGCGCTACTACTTTTTTTCTAACTTTCACTCAGGACGCAACATGTAAAATGAAGGGCAAAACTAATATTGATTTACATCACCCCGATGCAAAATTCCATCTTGTGAATAGTTTGCGCGACCAAACAAACTCCGAACCTATTCATGACTTGAAGACTAATTTATTGAAACCAGGCACTGATTTACGTGGTTAGTGATCAATACCAGCTGCAACTGACGTTTAAATACTACATAAATATGTAAAATATGAATGTATATAATTATATTAATAATAATAATTACATGACGTTTAAAACGTTTCATAAGTTGGGATGGATTTATTATTTACAGTAAAACTGTACGGCTTTTTAATGTGTTGCAATCATTCCAACGCGTTGGTGCTGTTTCGTTTGTTTTTGTTTTTCAAAAAAGGTGAAGTGCCACAAGGTGTATTTCCATACGGAATGTTTAACTTGAGAGAATTGTAGCAAAACCACCAAATAGCGATTGCGATGAAGTGAAAGCTAGATTCTGTATGAGGATGTAACTTGCGATATTTTAAAGTTTGCATGTGGAAATAAACATTTGAACTGCGTTCACGGTTATATTATAAATTCATCGTAGCTTTTGTCAAAATGCACACGGGAGTAACGACTTGAAAGTTGCGTCAAGAATAAATCATTGCGTAAAATAATGCATCCACCTGGCCTGCGTGATATATTTCCTGAATGTGATAGCACCAATTTGTTATTTAGACTTTAACAGGTGTTCCAGTGACTCGCAGAATAGTAAGGTGTTTAACAGGTGTTCACATATACAATGAAATCAATCAATCAAATCTGACATGCTTACGCACTCAATTGGTGCTATTTGGAAGAAGGAAACAGGAATGTTGAAACTGCAAGGATGGTGACAGGAAGAGAGGATCCAATTAGGGAGAGAATCGACCTGCCGGATGGGCTGCGTAAGAGTCTCTACTCAGATCATAGTTTTTCATTTATTAAGGGAATAAATATGTGCTTGGTTGGTTTTAAACAGGGGATTTGACGTTTGCCAAAAAGCTTTGCCAGAAAGTTCATGTAAAGTGTAAATACGGTGATAATGTTTTGAAACACCACCCTAGCCATGTTATGGTATGTATGTACCGCTCGCGAGTAGTCGTAAACATCTCTTTATGTGGAGAATGGCGCGCATTGCGCTTGCTGCGCGTTGCAGCGCAGAACGCGGCGGTGCCGGTGCAGTGTAGGACTCATTGGTAATATAGCGCATGCCTTTTAAAGTGAAAATTGTGAATGTTCAACCAATAAAAAGGGTATAAGGGACCAGATTTCATAGCAGTCCAAATTTCACGTGACACCGGAAAGCTTGTCTTAGGTATATTTTTGAATGTTATTTAAAAATTTTCACAATTTAAAAGATACAAAACTAAACACAGAAACAGAAATGGAAGTTGAACAGAAGCTGTCAAACAGCAAAGCGGAATGGAAGTTTCAGGCCTCTGTTCAATCTTTAAAACAGTAACAGTGATGTTGCAGTGGCACTTGTGCAATTTTTTTGTAAGAAAATGGAAAAGATTTTAAACCACAACAATTCTAAAACCAAAACGAATTTTGAAACATGTCGAAATATCCACTGCCTAGACTGTGACTGATAGTTTCCTGTTGAAATTTTGAAATGGCTGATTAACAAGGAGTTTCAAACGTCGTTAACACTTATGTATATAATTTACTCAATAAGTAAGGCGGCCCAAGGCCACAAACCGAGTCACAATCGCCATTTTTGAGTATCATATTTGAATTAATCACTTACTTGTTGAAATAATTGCCGACGGTTATAAAGTTATCTCCCTGAAGATTTTGTAGCATCAGGTTGGGATGGCGGTCTCCAAACTCATCGATGACTACATCGCCATCGATCCCTGAAAATAGAAGGGGAAAAGTTATGTACATGAACCTCCTACGTCTTGATTTCTCTTTTAGGTTTTTTTTTTAATTTTATGGAGGATATACATTTGTATTTTCCTTTCAGTACGAAATATCTGTAAACTCTCGAAACAGTTTAGGAAAAATTATTTCGCCTTTCGTTTAAATTATCTTGTCATTATTATCCTGAATAAAATATGACTGATTGTCCGTTCCACATAGCCTATCAGCTGCGCACCAATGGTCCCTACCTACCTGCCAATCAAACATTTTGACCAATTAGATCACGTTTCTTGGTCAGGTGACCACGATAGGTATGTTAAAGGGCCCATGCAATATATATCTTTCCATTTCACCTTATTTTCATATTTTTTTTGGCCATTCATTTTGAAGGGTATGTTTGTTGCCTTTTTGGTTGTTATGCTGATTCGAATTTGCAAATTCATGAGCACAACTGTGACGTCATTCCGGGCAGAAACCTCAACACACAAAAAGTTGCTGGAAAAATGGATATTACGTTGTCATAAAAGTTTCTTTTCTTTTGTAATTCGTGGTTGTGTATATGTGCATGGCAGTAAGCCAATGAGCAACCCTTCCTAACAAATATTTTCAATGAGCAAATCTTTGGTTAACAGTTTGAAAAGAAAACTCTGAAAAGTGTCTTCCTGAAGTGCAAAAACAGTGCACACGGTTGTCCGGAAAAGAAAGGAACATTTTCAATGTTTAAAGAAATGCACTTCTTAAACCTTATTTTGGGTGAAATTGGGTAACCCTTCTTTGGGTAAAATTTACTCTAGAGGGATGTCAAATCGTGTTCATACATGTAAGAGGAGTAGAAAGTCGCACAAAATGTGTTCCTCAGAGAAAAAAAACAAAGATAGGCGGGGTTTATGACCACTTCCGGAAACAAGACCATTTCGACTGTTTCCCAGCCAAATCTAACTCTCTTTTTTATACGAGAGCAGTTTCGCGTTTACATATTCGATAAAATTGTAAAATCATTTATTTGTATTTACCAGTGAAATTGTTTGTAAACAGATATTTGCTGACGGTCCTTCCGACGGTCGAGTTTTCCGCAGCGAGGCTCCTGTTTAATGCGCGTGCGTAGAGAAGAACAGCATCGTATAGCAGAGCAGCCTCTATTACGATCTGAGGGAAAATAGATAATTGAAATCTTCGTCCGTCAACAGAAGTCGGTCAACAAAATGAGTTTTTTAAATCAGGTCGATTGTTCGTGACCGCTTTTGCCTGACTATTTAACTTGTAGCAAAGATGTTTGATTGAATTTGCGATTTTAGTTTTCTTTTCCAATCATATAATTGAGATGCAATGATATAAAAAAAAAAAAATCCGAATTCAAATTTTGTTTTATTTCTCAGGGGAAAACAGTGGTAAAATGCCACCATGGATGAAAACATCGCGTCCTGGAAAGCACAGTTATAACTGCATTCACTTTTCTGTATGATTGCATCTGGCAACATTGCAATACATGTATGCAGGTCCATAATCAAATCGATTAATTTAATTTCGATTATTTTCACTTCAAGGATTCTTTTTCAGTCCCGTCCGAAGGCTGCAAGTGGCATTTGCAGAGTTAATTATCGAGCCCTGAAAAGAAATATACAGCTACAATTATTCTGCCCAATGGACTGCAGTACGTACCCATCTATAATTTCGATTGGGCTTATACGTTCAAAAACAGTCAAACAAACCAAGTTTTGGGGGGAAATAAAAAAAATTAAAAATTAGGAGTACTTTTATATAAATGATAATATGGCGATAAAAAACAAATACATTCAATTTTGTCAAGCCTACCATAAAAAAAACCTTCTCCAGGAGCATATCTAGCTTTCAGAAAACAGAGATTGAGCGAAGGTTGAACAAAGGCGTGCCGAAGGTACACCGTGCTAGGGTGATATGGGGGCTTGTCCCCCGGAAAATGTTGAAATTTACGATGTTTTTCCTGCATTCTAAGGCGATTTGAGAATAAATTTAGGAACTTAGCATTCCATTTATGCCACTAAATGTACCATTAAGGAGACATATTATCATAATTTTTTCGAACGATGGGAGACATCGGTCATTAGGTACACATCTTCATGTCTCCCTTATGCCACAGCCCCCCTTTAGAGGCACAATGTTACCGTCGCAATTAGGTTATATTTGTTGCTCGTGGTCTATTTAGTAAACATACCGAAATTCGTGGAAAAAGAACAAGGGAATATTGGGTTGGGGCACATTTGCTTTGAAAAAAAATGTGTGCACAAGTCTATGGGTATGTCTCCCAAATGTCCTATCCAGGGTAATAATTATTATTCTTATTACTAGTATATATCATAACATTAGCCAGCGGCTGAACGCAGGGGGGATGGGTTGCAACCTCACAAACCTCCCTTCTAGACCCACTACCGTTCTCTACACCTGTTGAGAATATAGAGCCTCCCAAAGGACCGGAAACAAATGCTTTTATAGAGTTGGATTTCAGATAAGTAAAAACCATGTCTATAGGTTTAGAGCGATAGCTTGTAAGACGAAAGGGCATTTACATTATACATGTACATATAGGATGTTTTCTACACAACTGTGTGTCGTCTCGCTGGAGATGTAATTGAAGTGTTAATTACAAATGTACTGACTGTTTACAAAAGAGGAAAAGTGAAACCAAGACATATATAACTGAAAGCAGGAAAATGTCACTGGACAAACTAAATCTGGGTTTCGTCAATAAACTGCAATGAACCACTTTCAACTGCTAGAAATAAGAAGGCTGTGAAAACACGTTTGCCTTTGTGTTTTCAGCCAAGTTATTTGGATTCCTACTGTTTGTTCTTGCTGTTCGGGACTTTACTATGGCGTGCAAATTTACTCCTGAAATAAGGTTTTTGTCTATTTTAGTAGTGATATCTCTATTGCGTGCCAAGTAAACATTTTTAATCCCGAAAAAGGGATATACATGTTCATAGAGATATCTATTTCAAATGAAGACATCTGTATTTGTCATCTAGATATCTCTACTCCTAATAGAGATATCTTTATTCCTAATAGACATATCTTTATTCCTAATAGACATATATGTAAGGAATCTTAATCGAGAGAAATATTCCTATAATAGAGATGTGCCTATTCCTAACAGAGATATATCTATTTCATATAAAGACATCTGTATTTCTAATCGAGATATATCTATACTCCTAATAGAGATATACTTATTCCTAAGAGAGATATATTTCAAATAAAGATATCTCTTTTCAAATGAAGATATCTCTATTTTTTTAATCGAGATATCTCTACACTCCTAATAGAGATATCTCTTCTCATTATAGAGATATTTCTATTCCTTATAGAGATATACCTATTCCTAACAGAGATATATTTCAAATAAAGATACATCTCTTCAAATGAAGATATATCTATTTCTAATCAATATATCTCCATTTAAAATAGAGATATCTCTATTGCGGGATCAAAATGCAAACATTGGCACGTACGTCTGGAACTAGAGATAAGTCTGTTAAAATGGAGATATCTCTGTTAAAATGGAGATATCTCAATTTCAGAATTAAACGTTACATTTGCATGCCACACTTAACACTCCATACCTCTTTATCTGGATGATCGACGAATACGGTTGAATTGAATGGCATCTGCGACGTTCGGATGCGGACTTCTTCTTCAAAGGCCATATAAGCGTCTGTCTCGGGTTTCAGCAGTTTCACATCCATAAGACCTGGCAAACAAGCCGAAACAGGTGGGGGAAAACCAACATCGATTGAGGTTAATTTGCGGTCTGGAAAAGTGCACCTGTGTACCGTTAGGACAGCAAATAGAATAGTGATAAAGTAAGGAATCGAAGGAGTACAGAGGCTATAGATATATTGATACTGGCATTAAAGCATGTAGTAATTAATAGTTGTGATGTCACATTAACAGCTGTTTTGTGACGTCATACATATTTGACAGGACGTCAAGTTACACTCGGACTAATTTAATGTTTCCATCTTAAATCTATTAACATGCAGTCGAACACAGGAGGCACAAAGTCGACATCTATTTATGTGAAACGTAAACAAACTAGACTGTGTAAGCAGTTTCAGGACTTTTCTGAAAAATCGAAAGAAACTGATATTAAAGCAGATGATGAGCAGTTGATACAAAATATTTTAGTGACTGCAAAGAAAACAATCGAACACAATTGTTTACTCTTTAAATGCAGTATAACTTAACCGCCAAAAGACAGAAAATAATGCGTAACATCTTTAGAAACATTTAAAAAGTGAAACATGATACAGTTTTCAAGTTTTTAACTGTAATGAATATCTCTTAAGATTACTGTGAGAAATCAATAATTCGTGACCGTACATGGCAATCGACCGTGCATTCTTAGCCTTTACCATCTCAATGGTTTGTGTACAATCGGGTGTAAATCTATCCTGTTTACAATGTACAGACTCATCGATCGCCTTTTTACGACTCCTCGAAATACGCCAACAAATCACAATCTATCACAGAAACAGATGGCTTGACAAATGAAAGGTAAATATACCCAAAGATATAAATTATATGTGGTTTTCCACATTGATCTGAAATGCATGCAAGATGCCGCATTAAATGGTTGAACAGACTTTCTGGTTTCCCGATAATGTATGAACGTTTTTATCAAATAACTAATTGACGTTTACGAATGAATTCCCTACCACAATGACAAAAAAAAATTGTAAAATTATATGTTCAGGTAAATCATTGATTTACCTGAACGTTCCTTTATAATTTCACAAGTGTTTTTTTTCCAATGCTGCGGGGAATTCATTCATAAACATCAATTATTAATTTGATAAAAATGTTGTTCATGTTATAAACTAAAGCAACATGCATTTAGGCAGGCTCACCCAGACGATAGCAGCTTTTGATCTTTGCACTCTTTGCATTGAACATAACATAAATGTCGAGCCATACATCACTCTTACGTTAATTAACAAAAACTATACTAAATGCAATTAATAAATTCGGAATGTAGCCAGCGTCATTTAACGGTATTGCATTGCCATCTCTTATTTAGTGTATCGTTACATGTATATGCTTTCGTGTTATTCTTTCGTGGACATTAATAATTCTATAAATTTCAAGATTTTGGTCATATTCAGGACATGTTTCCTTCAGTGAAATATATCGTGACGTCACTGTTTAAAATATTGATAATGTACATCACGAAAAATCGATTCCTTTTCTCATTTGCCTTTTTTTTCTAGCAATACAAAGGTTAATCACTTTTGAATGAGGCATCGACCGAAAAAAAAAATCGTTAAAAATTGTGTTTAGATATTGAATTATTAATAAAAACACGGGCCGAAGCTTGCATTCGTGAAAAAGGCCAAGTAGAGGGCAGAGACAGAGCAGCACAGAAAACCACCAAGCAGTCTTTTTCTGGATGGACTACCATTATCTCCAAAAGGATAAATGACCATTGTTGCTAAAAATAAGAAAAAAATAAAGACCCAAAATAAAGAAAGAAAGATTAAAACATTAAAAGGAAGTAAAATTACCCTCACCTCAATTCCATTACATTCCTGACAAATGACAATTAAGACCGTGGACAGATTGAAAAATTGGCGCTTTTTCTTTAATTGGCCAATTAAAACTCAATAAATATTTACCCAATTGGAAAGATTTGTGGACAGACTACAATTGAGACCGTGGACAGATTGAAAAATTGGCGGGGTTTTTTTTAATTGGCCAAAACTCAATAAATATTTACCTGATTGGAAAGATTTTTTCATAGATGAAACGCTAATTAACTATACGATCCAAATATGTATCGATATTTGCAATGGTTTTATTTCGAAGCTGTGAACAAGAGGGAGATTAGAGGGTTCGGTTGGTGTGTTTTTTAGACACCTGTAGTATCATAATCATTAAAAAAAAACTACCCCGGCCACTACCTGAGAGTGAGCTGGACTGGGACCTGGAGTGTTCTGAAACGCGCAAAACTAAATCAGGACAACTTTACTCACTCTTTAGCCAGCAAAATTCTCCAAAACTTCCATTAGGCAAAGAAAAGGTCCGCAGTATTCACCAACAAAGTTTGAAGACTCAATTCAATTTTAAAGGAGACATTTCTTCAATAGTTTGCTAATGAGAGGGAAGTCAAGTGATTTCAAAATGAGGCTAAAGACTTGACTGGTACATGTCCAACCATGGTCCAACTATTTGAAAAGACTGACCTCTTCATACAGTGTCATTAGTCTGGTGACTGACTATGGAAGAGTGTAGTAAATAGAGACTTGTTCCTAACTTGCCTCATGTTTCTGTAGGCACAGTTGATTGATGCAGTGCTGAAGCGGTGTGGGACTAGTTGTTTCAGTTGCCAGTCTATTTTTCTTGTCATGCATGTTTTCAATACCTTAAGTTTTTGGAACTCTCACACACAGTATTGAGAGTCCCACATTTTCGGACTAATAGTAAGCTATGAATTGATAGCAAACTGAACTTTTCACGAAGTGGGCTAGACAATTTGGATCCTGCCATTAATTTATACTGTCAGCTTGAAATGTACAATGTATCACTTCATTTATTGGTTGGTGCACTTCTTCAATTCACAATTCAGTAAAAAGAACATGGGTTGGGACAAGATAAACGATAAATTACGTGACCAGCTAAATGACAAACGACAGGAACCTCAGTTATCAAGAGGGGTCATTTCTTTAAAGTTTGCCGATTATCTCGATGTGGATGAAATTTAATATCAAAGTCTCGTGCTCGATTTTCAGCCAATTTCATTTAATTTCATTTATCATTTTAGTTTACCAGGGTAGCCCCATCAGTTTTCGCAGAACTATTCTCATAAGTGACCCTGGGTCACAGGTTTTAACAGATGCAATTTAAGAAAAGGTAAAGTACATTCCTGTTGCTATCTGCATCTATACCTTCTTGGTTTAAGTCACCGAAAGGGAAAGCTGTGTTGGCAACTGTAGCCAGACTTTAAAATGAGGACCAACCCTGCACCTGAATCTAGCTCTTATTACTAAAACAATAAAGCGACAACTACATACAGGGTGAGTAAAAAAAAACGAAACCCAAATGCCAGGACTACTGTTTTAGTGAAGTTCTGCATGTGGCACTTTAAAAATCTAGGATATAAAGCCCAATTCATAAGCTTTCTTTTAGAACAGGAATCATTCAAATCACTCATGTATTTTTCAAGTTACGGAATTTTAAACACAACCACCGTTTGAAAGTTCTGTCCACGGATCACAAAAAGTGTGCGTTCTTTCAGCAAAACGAAAACAATTCACACACATCCCTATGTGAATTGTTTTCGTTTTGCAGAAAAAAACACTTACCTTTTTGTGATCCGTGGACAGAACCTAAAAACGAAGGTTGTGTTTAAAATTCCGTAACTTGAAAAGTACATGATTGATTTGAATGATTCTTGTACTAAAAGAAAGCTTATGAATTGGGCTTTTGTATTCCATATTTTAAAAGTGCTACATGCAGAACCTAACTAAAACAATTGTCCCGACATTTGGGTTTCGTGTTTTTTTACCCACCCTGTATATGGCATGGCCTTAATGTACATTTCTGTTTCTTATTTTACTGCTGTTTGACTAACAGAGAATGTACTTAACTTGTTGAGTTTGCAAGCATTGTTTTTAAAAGCATTATTTTTAAAATATGTCGCTCCATGAATGACGTTATTTAAAGGTGATATGCCTACATGGATTTATCTTAAATTAACAGTGCATATCATTCGAAAAGCTGGCACACGTTTGCTATAATATGAAAAGGAGGCGCATACATTCACTATTTAGGCGGCTCTGTTTCTAGCATTTCAATAATCGAGAGAGCGCTGGACCAGTTCCAACGAAGATCAATTACCCTTAGAAATATACAAAAGGAACTGTCTTCATCCGGAGGTATTTGTAGAGTGTGACAGTCGTAATAAAGTAGTTTCTCACTCGAGATATCTATTACCAAAGTCCAGCGATGGCCATTACGGCCCTGCCTATACCATTAACTCTGACAGTTACCGCGGCACATCTTGGCCGTAAGTCGGTTTCCAAGTGCATTGCATATCTCTGTTCTCATTATAGAAAATGATACCAACGCACTACTCAGAACCAAAAAAGTCAACAATTATAGATACAAATTACCCATCAGGGTGAAAACATAGGCATACGAATTACGAAAAACGATTCATTAGTCCACCGTCGTAAGACGATGATAGTTCGACATCGCCACAGTGGCGTCAGTTCGTTAACCAGACTAAAAATCTGACTTGCTAATACCTGCGAATGCTTTGATGGCGTCGTCGTCCCGACCGTCGTTCGGTTCGCTTACGTCTTCCCGAGCGCTTAGGGAGACTTCCGTTGTGAAGAAGGCATAGGTACCGTCCATCATACCAAGGTCCAATGCATCCAGGAGGAAATTCCGTACATCGGTCCCGTAAGCAACGACTATAAACACTGCAAGGAATCAATAAGGCTAATACATAAATCTTTAATGGTACAGTAATCCCTGCACGAGGCTACATTATGCACTTTGGTTGGTCATAGCCATGAAGGACGTACATTTACATGAATACAGGGTAAATAAAAAAAACGAAACCTAAATGTAGGGACCATTGTTTTACTGAAGTTCTGCATGTAGCACTTGCAAAATCTAGGATATAAAAGCCTAATTCATAAGCATTCTTTTAGTACAAGAATCATTTAAATCGCTCATGTGCTTTTCAAGTTGCGGAGTTTTAAACACAACCGCCGTTTGAAAGGTGTGTGTTCTTCCAGCAAAACGAAAACAATTCACATACATCCTTATATGATTTGTTTTCGTTTTGCTGAAAGAACACTGAATTTTTTATGATCCGTGGACAGAACCTTAAAACGGCGGTTGTGTTTAAAATTCCGTAACTTGAAAAGTACATGATTGATTTGAATGATTCGTGTACTATAAAAGAAAGCTTATGAATTGAACTAAAACAATGGTCCCGACATTTGGGTTTCGTTGTTTTTTGGGTTTTTTTTTTTTTTTACTCACCCTGAATGCAAGGTGGAACATCTTGCTATACGTATCTGTAATGAGTTCAACTTTTGTAACGTTGTGCAACAATAATATGAGATTTGCAATAATGATGTAGCAAAGTATTTATTGATAATTCCACGAAAAAAACATCAATGGTGTAATTGAAGCGTGCTTTGAAGTATAGGCCTGACAGTTTCGGCAAAAATCCACATTCATCAATATATTAAAACTGTTTATAACATATTTCAGGCATTGTATGTCTTTTTTTTACGATTTTTCTTTCGATTCATTAACGTCGCCGATCCGTGGAACCAACAGCCACCTTTGTCTAGAATGATTGATTAGACTTTTAGTCTAATGATACAAGACATAAGCAATTTTCCTATCGTAATGGATTTGGAACTGGCTACGAGCAATTGCAAATGAGGACAAATGAACCTATCAAAGACGCCCATTTACAGTGCGCATCCGAAAAAAAATGCTGGGTACAAAACAAGTCATCAATGTTATGCTAGCATTAACATCTTTGCTGTATTGAACAAAGCATTGCATCACTTCTAATGCGCCTTTCAAATGTCCGCCCCCGCTGCCCCCAGATCTGATGTCGGGGTTTGATCACGTTTTTCATGCCCCAGGGTGGGGATTTTGGTCACTCAAAAACATTGTTACCATTGACGTACTACGTGAAAGGCCATCACTAGTGCGCCCCACGTATGTATGTCGGGAATTGTCACTGAAATTTTGCCCGAGGGGTGGGAATTTTGTCACTTCAAAAGTGACAATCCCCACGTCTTGGGTGGGGCAGCCCGTGGAGGGGTGGGGGAAACAATTGATGGACGGATAAACGAGAAAATTAAAGATGTCCTGTCGGTTGTATTTCAGGGTTTGGCAAAGAAAAAATGTATTTGATATTGAGTGAGGTATCGCGGTGTTTTTATTTTGGGGAGTGGGGTTTTTTTTGGGGGGTGGGGGTCGTTACAACAAAAAAAGAACAAGTTGAAAATTCGTCAGGGAAAAATCAGATTGTCGAAAGGCACAGCCAGGACGTCTTCAATGACCCTTGAAAAAATCTTCCTGTTTGGATTAAATAGTACTGTTGTTGAATTGATATGACAGTCATTAGTTTTTTCATTAATTTCTAAAAAGCCACTTTGCCTTAATTGTAGAGAGTTAGATGGTCTGCGTGTGTGAGGTTGAAGCCACTCTCGTGAAAGGTCAAGATGAAAAGGATTTTTTTTTCTGGGCGATAAACTGTTTTCACTGAACAGCTTCACAAAAATGAGGGATGATTTTTTTTCTTTGTTCAGAAAATTAAGATTAAAGCTGGGTCAATTTTTATGATCAGAATTAGTCTTTGGAGGTATACAGATTTGCGCCGTCAATCTACACTCAATATCTTTCCAACTTGTTGTTGGACGAATTCGGAATTGTGTCGCTTTCCAAACCTAGCTATTATGAAAGTGTGTCAAGGCAACAATACAGGAAAGGCCGGCAAGGGGTGTTTTAACCATCAACAGCGAAATAATCCGCAGTGCCCACTTGTATTTTTCCCCGCCTATCTATAGTAGGTCGCGGGGCTTTCAGCATGCTGGAAATATTAAATTGACCGAAATCTTATGTTTGCTTTGCATTACCGACCCGGCCATTTATCAACGCTCGTATTTTGTCTGAAAATTGATGCGTTCGATCTTAGTACGCGCAAGCCCCATTTTTTTCTAATAAAGTCTTGGTCAACGATATTCCACTGTTGCGTTAGCGATTTTCAAATGCGATATAATTATGGTCATCAAATTTAGTACCGTATAGTTTCATTACTTTTTTTAGATTTTTAATACGGTATCGTTTGGGCTGCGTTGAAACTATTTAAATCATTCAACAACAACAATAATTCAACGCGTTTTATCACGCGATGGTTGCTGATTGACCCTCAAAGAATTATGATACATAAAGTAAAGTCAGAAGGGGAAAAGTGATTTTGTTTCCCGTTTCACTTTTGGTTTTAACATCGAAACAAATTATAGTGACCTCCTAGCATTTCGGTCAAGTACTTTGGTAAAGGGTATAAGTACAGTATACCCGTCCGTGAGTACACTTAATTACGAGTAAGTATATGATCTTGATGTTACTAAGATATTGTCATAATTTATATTTACACTTTGATATTTGTTTTGAAGTAGCAGATAGCTAGAATCGGTTATTGTCGTATGTTATCATGTGGGCCCCATGCCACAGCATTGAAGGGACGTTATGACATTATCAATTTCATCTGCTGCATTGTGTTAGACACAGGCTAAAAGCCCAAGCATTTTTTCCATGAAAGTGAACGTATTCATCATGCATAGTTACAATTTCAGCTGAGGTACGGGAGAGGAATTTAATAATTTCACGACTGAGTGATTTTGCTAGCTAAAAAGTACACATGCACCCGGAATGCCTATAGCAGGTAGTACACACTCAGTTGATCGTAAATCGCATCAAAGGGAAAAAGACTGTTCTTTCAATTCGAAATCATGTCTCTATATCTAAGGCAACTGGTGTGCCGGTGTGATAACATTATGTACTTCCCCCGTATAGACTGTGTCTACTTTGAATTGCCCTGGCATTTAATAATATATGTCAGATGATTTCCGTGGGGATCGACAAAATGAATGGAAGCACTTTCCCACTGCGTCGCTTGTCCAAATATCCAACTGTTATGCGAAGTCAGACTCTGATAACAACTTATTTTGGTTTTGTCCTGTTCCAGGCTTCGGGTTTTTTTTGGAGCTCAACTGACGTAAATGTAGAATAGTACAGGCAACTGCAAAAAAACAGCAAATCTAGGTCGACTTTCAGATGAGTCACAAGGATCCTGAATTAATCTTCCTTCAATCGACTCTGTTTTGAATATTCCCTCTTTTGGCTTCGGCACATGACACCATATTGCTGCCTTGATAATTTATTATTTGTTGGCGAGTCTTACATTTGGGGATTATTTACATTACTCGTTGATTTAGTATTTGTTATGCTCCGTTTCTCCTTTATTTCATACTTTGTATTTGTTACCTAATTTTGTGCTCCTTGTTCAGTTTTAATTACGGTTATTTATTCATCGCAATATTGAAATAAATGTATGTTTGAATGAATTAATGAATTAATAAGTCCTTACAATAGATAGTACAATGTCAGTGAATATTTGCTGCTTATACGCACATGTCATCAGGAAAACACTTTTTTATTGAACAAAAATTATTAACAGAAAAAAATAGTCGTTTCATTATCAAATGAGATTTTCTGTTCATGTAAAGCTTGTTTATTCAGAACTCAGCTACATTCTCCCATATGGAAATTTAAACAGTAAACGGTATTGTTTGATGTGGCTAGGCCTGGGCGTTGCCATAGCTAAGTACTCAATGCTGTAATATTTTGTCATCAAGTGACACTTCGGTTTTATTATGGGAAGGTGTCAGTTGTCGTTGAGAGACCAATTAGTCTCCTTTCGAGTGTTGTTTTACGGTGTAATTTCCGAGTGGCAACGCCTCTGACAAATCCACTGATATGAACAGTGTGGAAATATTAACTCAACTCACCACGTACAGCCAAATGATATAGACATGTACTATATGGTATCAGTTTTGTTGTACGTGACTTGTATAGGGTTGAACGGGAAAAATTGATTTTTAAATTTTGCCATTGAATCCATTTTTTACTAATCATCTTAGATGGAATTTCTATAGGGCATTCCTAATAATGTACTTGCATTTGGTTATAATAAGTGGTTATAATAACGTTCCATTACACTGATATACACTATAATGGATTAAACATTAAGCTTATAATACAGTAATCAGTATTATTATGCTTGACGCCGAAATGGCAGCATTGAGCTGTATACTCCCCCGGGAGCTGAAATTGTCCTTGGAATGATTCATTGGCCCAATGAGTTGGGTAATAATGATGTAGCTAGCGCCTTCAGCACCAACACTGGTGAATACGTCCTCTTCATAAATACACATTATGATTACATTTGGAAATTAAAACACAGGCGTTAACTCATTAACTTGGCATGCATGAGAGTAGTCCGTAAATTTGGGACTCTCAACACTGTGTATGAGAGTCCCAAAACTGAAGATAGTGAAAATATGCAATACAAGAAAATACACTGGCTCATGAAACAACCAGTCCAACACCCCTTCAGTACTGCATCAATCAAATCTCATTTGAAGTCTCAAATTATTTTTTAAAGAAGCCTTTTCTTCAATAGTGTGCACCAGGGAGTGAAACCAAGTGATGTCAATTTGAAGCAAAGGACTAGACTGGTATATGTGGGGGCCGTATCATAAGTCCGACGCCTCATAAATCCGACGCCTCATAAGTCCGAAATTTCGCACTTGTGAGGCGTTGGACTTATGAGACATACATTTCGCCTCATAGGTCCGACGCCTCATTAGTCCGACGCCTCACACGTCCGACAATGGACAAACGCTGTTTCGGACTTAGGAGGCGTCGGAGCTATGAGGCGTCGGACTCATGCGGCGTTGGACCTATGAAGCGGAATAAATCAATTGTATGCCTCATAAGTCCGACGCCTCAGAAGTCCGAACTTTTGGACTTATGAGGCGTCGGACCTATGAGGCGTCGGACTTATGAGCGGACCCCATATGTCCGACTGTTTGAAAAGATTGACCATTCAGTTGTCTGGTGGCAGACTGTGGAAAGATGTGCAGGCATAGAGACCGAGACCAGATGTTTGGATTTTTTTGTCATACAGTCTTGATTGATTCAGTAAGGGGTGCTCAACAGGTAGTTTCATGTGCTAGTCCATTTTCTTACAATGTATTGAGAACACAAATGTCATGCAAATACAATGTATTAAGAGTTCCCGATTTCTGGACTGAATATCTATGTGCCACTCCCCCCAAAAAATGTGAACCGGTTTCTAGCAATAATATTGCATGACAATTTGCCTGATGACCTGTTTTCGCTGAGCAAATTTTTTTTTTTTGCGTTTGGCAGTTCCATGAATTGGCCCCATGCTTTATGTTTCTTCGTTTTATTCTATTTTCCGTAAACATGAAGTTTTACCAACCTCTTGATGACTCCATAGCCTCCTCAAGCTGTTTCTTCTTGTTCTCGGCTTCTCTGGCCACACTTGCTACGTTAGCCTCGGCCAGCTTCTCCAAGGGCTCAAACTGAGCAAACACCTCCACTTCGATGTCGTTCTGCTCCAGGTCCGTCTTCATATTCTGCGCCGTCAGAGACCAGAGATGATGCGAAGAGTAGATGATGGCCACTCGGTCGTAGTTGAAGTGTTTCATGATGCGGGTGAAGAACGGCGCCACGAACTTACTCGGGCTGGTGGTCCGTGCGAAGGTCGGGTACGTCTCCTTCTGGGAGAGTGTGTCCGACGTACATCCCCAGGACACGACAGGTGTCCCCCAGTGCGCGGCCAGTATCCCCCCTGGCTCACAGATGATGCTACACCCGGGGCCGATGTACGCATCAATGGGTACCCCCAGCTCATTGTCGTAGTGCAAGTCGCTAAATACTGGCAATCCAATTTTGGTTTCACAATTGGTGTCCTTCCAGATGAAGTCAAACTCCAGCCCAGCGGCGTGTATGGCTCCGTATTCCTGCTCCCCCTGCTCAGAGTTAATCCTATCCACGGCGATCGCAGCCGCTCCCCCACCCAGAGACCCCACGGGGTTTGACCCCTCCCAGGCGAACAGTATCCCCAGATTGATCTTCCTGGCCGTGCACAGATCGAGAAACGTCCCCAGAATCCAAACGCACATCAGAGTCAACCGACAACTTACAATCATGTTATGGCATCAGTATAACACTTGATACCCCTTAGTGCCGAGTCACACTTTGACCGACTGTGAGCTCCGAGTGTCGCAAATCCTGGATGCGTTGTTGTATGGTTGCATCACACAGCAGAGATGTCATGTACAATGTAGATATCAAACTGCTAAGTCTCCAGAACCGCCCATCCACCTACTGTACTGGTACGCTAAGTCACCTGTCGCCTCTTTGTGCGTTGACTCTATACTCTGATAACAGAGTCTATATTACCATCATCACCTGCATGGCACCGTCTCATCACCTACGCAGTCTGACCACGCACACTGCTCACGGAGAATGCATGAACTACCCGTTATTAGAAAGTCGTTCCTTGTCCCAGAATTCTGCTCACGCGTATTGCAAAACTCACCGGCCTGGACTGAAAATTTCCGCGCAGTTTTGTTTCTGTTTCCGGGAGTGAGAGTCAATATTGACTTACGGTTGTGTGGTTCTACGCTCACTTCCAAGCCATGGCAACAACACAAGTCTTTTTCGTAAAAAAAAAATCAACGTGTCAAAAAACATCTATCCTCGATCAATCTCATTCAAATAGGCCAATGTTCCGGATCCGGTTGGTGCACAACCCCAAATTAGTGTGCGTCCTTCCATTCCAATGTACACAAGGGTTGTGTTGAAATGTCTTTGAAGCTGACGTTTTCATTCACTGCTCACGTGGCTAGGCCCTACCTATAGCGTTAGGTGGGTTATTGTAGGGAACACCCACTCTATTCAATTCGGCTCAGCCATTAAAACTGTAGGACCACACATAATCCCAATCCTAGTGACATGAATCGGAGAGTCAGAAGACTGGTACAACATTGTAACTAAAGCGATTCCATGTAGGGGTGTCCACGGTTCAGTCATTCACCGTTTGTGTTTACTGTTTATTTATCATGACAACAAAGTGATCATCGCCATCCAAAACCACGCAGTTCAATGTGATAATGACACTGACTTGTCACTTCGTGATGTTTAACATACGCAAAATATTTTACTTTGATACCTGTGTTTGGAATGGTGGTATTGTATTGATTTTTAATAATTATAATACGTCGTTGCATAAATCGATCCAGCTCTAACGATACATCAGCAGATATACATGTGTACTAGTTTTGGTATGTTGCATGGTCGTCAAGGATGTTGGTTCGAATCGCAGCGTGGTTCTTGTATTCCTAAAGCAAGCTACTTTACCATTAATAGCTGTCGAGATTTTCTAATTTCACGAATTAAGGTTGAAGCAAGCCCAGGCTCAACTGTACCCATCAATCATTGTTGACAGCAGTTGTTGACAATTGTACCTATATAAATTATTGTTGACAACAGGGGCGTTAATACGGGGCAGCATTGGCAGCAAAGGGAGTCCGTGCCCCCCACCCATTTGAAATTTTGATTTGCACACAAACAATGTACTCGTTGCCTTCAGTGCCCCCCCCCCCCACCTTGAAACTTGGCGCACCCCAGGTGCCCCCCAGAAGCTTAACCCTATACTTACATTTTATATTATTCCATGTAAATGTAATTCACTCCACTTAAAGATCTATTGCATTCACCAGGCATCTTTGAGGTGTGTTTTGTTTTGTCAAAACACTATCAATATGAGTGCACAAGAGCTCTGCTCATGCGTAGCCCCGTGCAAACGAACTATATAAGTTCCCCCAGAAAATATGAGAGTGCAGTCGTGTAAGTAATCACGTTTAATTGTGATGTCCATCCTGATCGATAATGTTTTATTTTCACGTGATTCAGAAGTAACCTTCGGTATATAGAAAGGCCTTTCAAGGAAGTACGTGAAGCTTGGAAAACACAATTGATGGTGAATGATAGAGGACGAGATAACTAGTCAAATTAGGTTGTGATAGCAGTCATCGATTTTTAGTACCGGGCTCTAATGATGCCCATATAACCAGTCATTGTCGTGTTCCCAGAAAGATACTCATGCACTATGCCACGGCAATAGAGGTCCAAGCCGGTGTAGCGTGAAATTTGGACTCTATGAAATACGGACATTTTGGTTGTATTGCGCGTGCCTAAGTGGGCAGGGTCTATAGTCACGTGTTAAGGTTAAAGTTCATATAAGGTAAAAGAGACCGGACGTCAGAGGCGTCAATCATGATGAAACCGGTTCTGTAGTTGGTAACATTTCACTGTTAATCCTTAACCCCAAATCCCATTAAAATGTCTTTGTGAGTAGGATTGAAAGAGAAGTTTAATGTTCAATCAATGTAATATTATGAAGTACAGTATTGAACGGATCATCCGGACATTTTATTTGCATTGTATACTAATATAATACAAGGGAAGGTTTTCAGCGTCTAGGGTGATGTACAATGCATCCATTGACGCCTACATGTACCGTATATGCGCGTGTAACAGCATAGAAGTAAGTTTCTCCTTTAAGCGTTTCTGAGAGTCAATACTCATCATAACAATCGACCGTTACAAGTGTCAATGTCGGACGGGATGGTGCCAGGGGGACAGCGAAATGTCGACTTCATGGAACACAAAGTAAATCCCATTTCCCAAACCTTGGGGTTCGTTTCAAGTTAGGCTTCATGTCTGGCTCCAGAATAATTCAGAACCCAAAAGCTTTGAACCAAGAGAGAATACACCAGGCTGATTATAGACTTGGTAATCACTGAAGCTTAGAATTAGCATTTTAAGCCAGAGTCCCGAGTGGAACGAAGCCGAGGATTTTAGAGAAGATCCTACTGACACCGTAATAATCTCTCGATCGCTTGCCTGTGCGGGACTTAAAGGAGTAGGCCTAACTGCCAAGAGAATACATCCTTTTGAGCCGAATAACGATTTACCATGTATACGAAATTATGAAAATTTTAAAGGGACTTGAAGCGTAAAATGAGAATGTTAACACAACTACACTTCACAATTTGGTTTTGGCGTATATACACGATTTTGGCCCTCAAAAGTCGAGCTGTTTGAGCGCTAGTCTTCTTTCAAGGCGCGCATGTTTCTTTTCAAAACGAACTTCAAACGCGTGTGCGCTGGGATCGCCATGTGTATAATTTTTCAGCTAGCGTGAATGGGACCTGATGCACTCCCAGTGAATTGTCACTTATATTATATGCGGCACCATCTTTTGTTGACAATTTGGCTCAAAATGCTACTCTTGAAATACGTATAGACAAGGCCAATGTCACGTCAGATGTAAGATTTATTAACATGTTCTCTATAAATAAATAAACAATAAATAAATTAATGAATTAATAAATAGATAAAACACAGACCTGAAATACGAAACGTAAGCCTAACTGATTATTTTGGCGAAATTTGGAAGAATGCATACCTTAACATATACTTGTTTTCGCAAAAGCTGCTCAGTAATTGCATTTTTAATGCCATCATCCTCTATAATTACAAAGGATTAGTTCTTGTGGAATGCCCAATGGTATTGCACTTTAGTTTGCAATTAGTAGCAGAGCCGGAAGGTCTTATCCTGTCTGATCCACGTGAATTGCATGGAATCTATTAAATTGAAGACGATGATGAGACGGTGTTTAAATGAGCTACAAAGAAGATGGAGTCCGACGACAATGTCTTCGAATTAAACATGGGAACTGTAGGAGCTGTAGTTTGTGAGCCGAACAATTGGTACAGTTTTATATCGCAGATCATTGTAGAAAATAGTTCAGTTATGCAGCATATTTGTTTGGGCAATCTAAGCCAAATTTGTCAGCTTTCTGGCTTTTTTTTTTAAACGAACTTATGAAACAGCCATCTAGCTAAATGGTCTCAAAATCGGAAGAGGAACAGTCAAAATCATCGATTCGTCCTCATGAGACAATTATATCTTCAGTGCGTTTTAGGAACTCTCTGTACTTGACAGTCAGTTTGAGGCATGAGGTTCACCCCTCACACCCCCGCTTTTCAACCCTCGCAGAAAGCGTCTCGTCATTATGAATGTCCAACATTTTTTGGAGAGACTCATGTATGAGCAATTCTGTTAATTACCAAAGTGAAGCACTCAGGTAATTGAGTTCTTTACGCAATTTGATTCTTGCAAGGTCATCTTTTAGAACGCTTCAATTGAACAGACAATGTCTATTATGGGAGATGATGGGTATTACAGGTTAACACATCACTGTCAGTTCTTTTTTCGTGCCTCCATCTCTCACAGTGCAAAGCAGTTATTGTATTCATTGTGATGGAAAACAGGACGAATCAAAAAAGCATTAGGTTGACGACAGTAAATAATTATACTCGTGACTTGTCTTTTGTTGATTCAATGAAATTACCAGCTTGTACCGCCAAACTCAATTTTGCCGAGTAATTATGACAAATTTATTTGTTGCTCATTTCTAGCACCGGCGCGTTCACGTTGAGCAGCATTATACATCATTTATCAATGGACTATTTAAACTGAGGGTCTTTCTTTAAATGCAGTTATTGAGAGAAATGGGCAGTGTCAGTGAAAAAAAAACAGTAGTTTGGAGTTTTGTTGAATTTGTTGATTTAAACGAAAAGACACGCTTTTCACAATTTTCTTCAAGCCATAACTGACACACTTTGCTGCTTTCATCCACTTTATTATTTTGGGAAAAAAAGGCAAAAATGAAAAAAAAATTGAACAGACCAAATTTTCCTTGTATTCCAGGACTTTTGTATTGGCCAAAAAAGGTTAGGTCTACAATGGCTGTATGTATACGAATCTATACTTAGTTGAGCCACGTTGAAACTGCAATGCCATAATGTATTATGCACCGCATGCATTCAGACCTATAGTTATGGAGCGAGTATTGTGTGTCAAATTGCCGTGTTATTGGCTTGATCTTCACTTCGAATTTAGTCCATATTGGGTGACCTGATGTTCTCACGGATAAATAAAAAACGATTTTGTGACCGAATGTAAGAACTTGGTTTGAGGCTACATTATTGCTATTTTGTATGTACAAACATGGAATGTTTTGCTAGATCTAAAATTATTCGCTGGAACCTAAATTTGGGCTGGGGAATTCTAGGC